GTCGAAGATGGTGGAGGTACGAGTGAAAGGTGAGAGAGGATGTTAAAAAGTTGTAACAACGAAAGATAGTGAAATACGACGGAAGAGGATGGCGGTGGGGGTGGGTGGTAGGGGGAGGGGGAAGGGCGAGTGCAGGAGGTCCGATGAGTCGAAAATGGTGGAGGTACGAGTGAAAGGTGAGAGAGGATGTCAAAAAGTTGTAATAACGGAAAAAGTGAAATACGGCGAAAGAGAGGAGCAGCGGGGGTGGTTGATGGGGGGAGGGGGAGTGGCGAGTGGAGGAGGTCCGGTGGGTCGAAGATGGTGGAGGTGCGAGTGAAGGTGAGAGAGGATGTTGAAAAGTTTAAATGGCGATTTGAAAAATTTTGAATGCGGACAGAGAAGAAGAATAAGAAGACGTTTCTTAATTTTTCATTAAAATCACCACTTTTTGACCGCTTATATCTCCAGAACGGCTTGACCGATTTAAAATTTTTTGGCTCAAATTACTCGTGGTGATGCCGCCTTTCAGGACATATAACGTTTGATTCAAAATTTTTTATATTTTCATAGTTATGCACCTCCCAAAAATAGACTTTGATAGCTCGGGATAAGAGACTTGTAGCGTCTCACAGTTTTGAACATGGCCGGAGACGCTACCGCGTCTCCTGATTTTAATTAATCAGTTAATCAAGTAAGTGAATCAGGTAATTACTTGATTAATTAAATGTTTATTCTGAAATTAAAATATTTAAAGTTTTACCAGGGTTGCCACAAGTCAGGGAAGTCAGGGAATGTTGAAAATTCCATGAAAAATTGTTAAGTATGTATCATTCGAGGTCAGGGAAAATTTCAATATTTTGTCAGTAAATCAGGAAACTGTCGGGGAATTTTACGATACAAAGGGTATTCTCGGTTAAGATAGGCGAAATGCCCTAATTCCTGAAAATTCAATTTTATCCTATTATAAATAGTTAGTGGGGCATAAACAATAAGGTACGGATGGTCCGTGTTCGTTATGTGTGAAATCGCTGCTTCGATCTCGACTGAGATCTCGAATGACGGAATGGATTGGTGGACTGGATGGTTGAGAACACTGAGCACTCCTCTTTAACTTGTTGTATGCAAGTTTTATTGACAACAATAAACGCAGTGGTATTCGCGTTGCACGGCGAGAGAGACGATTAACTGCGGTTAATTCGACGATACTCATCCACGACGGTAGCCGTGATGAGATTACAAAGTAACGAGTCGCGGTAGCGAACCCGTAGAAAGAAAGCTGCTGCTTTCAACGAGTAACTTGAGAGCACAACTTGACACGGCAAGTACTGATTTGTGTCTCAGGGTAGAATCGCGCTGCGCGACAAGCGCGACGAATCGGCAGGACGACAGCGACATCGGTATCCAAATATGCGGCTAAATTGTAGTAATGATATTCGCAAGACGGCGCGGTGAGTGCGACGAAAGATTCACGGACGGAATCGATGGATGGCGCAATCGATTCGTCTATTCGGCTTTGTAGCGCGAAACTTCTCCTATTCCGGAACATACCGCCCACCTCGGCTAGATTAGCCGATACAAGATTATTTGATGCCGCCCGCCGTGCCATTCGAGTTTAAAACCATATGATACATGACGCTTTACACTTTACTTAGATTTAGAAAGATATGATACATGCATAGAAATATTTATGTAGAGAGGTATACGAGAACATGAACTTATTATACAGTAAGTTCGAGCTAAAGGAGTTCGATCAATGAATGCCACGAAAGGAAATCGTTCATGTGGACGTTTCGTTTAAATCAACGGGTAAGAAACATAGCTTCACTATGGAACGTTTATACGTCGATTTTGACGTTTTCACAGTGACGACGCGCGTTAGTCCGTCGTCTCCCGTGTGGCATTCAATGATCCGACCGAGTTCCCACTTGCACGGTGGTGCAAGGGGATCGCGTAAAAGAACTAGGTGTCCGACTCGGGCGAGTTTTTGAGCGACGCGCCATTTTGAGCGCTGTTGTAATCCGATTAAATAATCATTTGACCATGCTTTCCAAATAACTTCGCCTTTTTGCTTCACGAGTTGCCATTGAGTCAGGCGCGTTTCTTTTGTTTCGAGTAGCGTAGGAGATGGCGGCGTTGTGAGAGCGCTACCAATTAAGAAATGACCCGGTGTCAGACATGAATAATCATCAAGATTATCTGACATCGGAGCTATCGGACGTGAGTTGAGGCACGCTTCGATTTGATAGAGCAGCGTCGTAAGCTCTTCGAATGTCAGCGTGTGTGAACCGATAACGCGTTTGAGATGATATTTGATGCTGCGAACGCCGGCTTTCCATAGGCCTCCGAAGTGAGGCGCGAAGGGGGGAATGAAGTGCCAACGGACACCGTCGCACGACAGTTTGCTTCGCAAGTTTGAATCTTGTTTTGCTGCATGAATTGCAGCTTTCAATTCGCGATCAGCTCCGCGAAAATTCTTTGCGTTATCGGAATATAAATCGGTCGGCATCCCGCGCCGAGAGCGGAAGCGCGCGTATGCTGCGAGAAACGCGGCGGTAGTATAATCGCTGACTAAATCGAGATGTATTGCTCGCGTCGTCATACAGACGAATACGACAATGTAGGCCTTCTGAGATTTGTACGGCCTGAATTCAATCTGACAGGAACGGGCCCGGCATAGTCAAGTCCGCAATGTAAGAATGCACGATCGACTTGTCGCAAGAATGCGCATTGCCGGGAGATCGCCCATGAGTTCACTGGGGATAACCGCCTTTTCGCGCGTACAAGTAATGCAACGATACAAGACGGCTCGCACAGTTTGACGAGCGCGAAGAATCCAAAATTCTTCGCGTAAAACACATAATGTTAGTTGCGTGCCCGCATGGAGCGAACGCAGATGAGCTTGTTGAATTATCAACGTAACGAGTGGGTGTGCTGCTAGAATGAGAGGACATTTAGCGTTATATGAAAGGTCGGATTTTCGTAATCGACCGCCTACGCGAATTAAATTGTCGTCATCCAAGAATGGATTAAGTGAGATTAGTTTGCTAGTTTTCGCTACTGGTTTCGAATTTTTTAATCGACGCACATCATCGAGAAAAAGATTTTGTTGAATGACGCGTAACCAAAATAGTCGTGCGTGTTTGTATTCGTCCACCGAAATTATATCGGATGGAATAGAATCGGATTCGTCGTTTGACGACTGCCTTTTGTATATACGATTTCGAAGCTTATTAATAAAGCGGATTAGATAGGCCGTTATGCGAAGAAGCTTTGGCCATGAAGAATAGCGGGAAGCTAAGTCCCATTGAGATTCGATATCGAGAGTTTGTACGACTATGGTCGAACTTTTTTCGAGCGAGGTGTCGTAATCTTGCCGAGATTCATTCGGTCACATACTTGAAGAAAGCTTGAGCCACTCGGGGCCTTGCCACCACAGTGAGTTCTCCGCGAACGAGGAAGCGGTAACTCCGCGTGATGCTAGATCCGCGGGATTCTGATGAGTCGGAACATGATGCCACATGGCATCAGGTATTAGAGTTTGCACATCGTGCACGCGATGCGCGACAAACGTTTTCCATCGAGATGGAAATTGGCGTAGCCAAGCGAGAGTGACGGTTGAATCCGTCCAGCAATGACAGGGAATTGTCGACAGTTCTAATGTCGTTCTGGTAAATGACATTGTTCGTGCTAAAAGCGCAGCAGCGCATAGTTCGAGTCTTGGAATTGTCAAGGGCTTAAGAGGCGCGACTTTTGATTTTGCTATTAATAGCGAAACAGTAACTGATCCCATGAGCGAGATCACTTTAAGATATATGACAGCGGCGTATGCGACGGACGATGCGTCAGCGAAGCCGTGAAGCTCACAGTGACTTGTGTCGGAACCGAAGGCAGTCCATCGTGGCAAAGAGATATTACGCAGTTGAATTAGCTGCGTGTGATAATTGTGCCATTTTTGCATGAGAGGGGGTGGAATTGGATCATCCCACGAACACTTAGTAGCCCACAATTGTTGCATGATAATTTTTGCAGTAATTATGACCGGAGCAAGCCACCCGAGCGGGTCAAATAATTTTGCTATAGTAGACAGAATTTTCCGTTTAGAATCTGGGATCGACGTGGTAACTTCGACTGAAAATTGGAATGTATCGGTAGCAGGGAGCCACGTGACGCCTAAGACTTTGAAACTTTCGTCGCTTTGCAGAATTTTGCCTTGACTGAGACTCTTTTCATTGACCGGTAGGTCGTTGAGTAACGTAGGGCAGTTGCTTGCCCACTTACGGAGGAGGAATCCACCTTTTTGTAACAATGAAATTAATTGATTGCGGATTTGCCTTGCAAGCGGCTTGTCATCCGCGCCGAAGATGCAATCATCGACATAGATTTGATTGCGTAAAACTGATTGAGCAAGAGGAAATTGAGCGCCTTCGTTTTGCGTCAATTGCTGAATTGTACGAAGAGCGAGGTATGGAGCACACGCCATACCGTAAGTAACAGTAAGCAAGCGGTAGTCTTGCACCGCTTCGGATGATGAAGAGCGCCATAAGATGCGCTGGTAATCTTGATCTCGCGGATCGACTTGAATCTGCCTATACATTTTTGCGATATCGGCAGTGAAAACATAACGATGTTGTCGCCATCGAAGAATTACCGAACGAAGGTCGGTTTGTAACTTAGGACCGATCATAAGATGATCGTTAAGTAAAGAGCCGTTCGATGTCGACTGAGATGCATTGAACACGACGCGCAACCGCGTGCTGCTGCTATGCTCGCGAATCACCGCATGATGCGGGATGTAAACTGATTGTGAAGCAGAGACTGGTTCGTCTACTTTCGTCATATGACCGAGATTTTTGTATTCCAGTAGGAATTCTCGATATTCGGATGCCATATCCTTTTTATTTTGAAGACGGCCTTCAAGCCGTGAAAGAAGTGATGAGGCGATGTGATGAGATTCGCCGATTACAATCGGAGGATTGGCTTTGAACGGTAGCCGTACGACGTACCGTCCATTAAGCCTGTTACACAATACGTCGTATGTCGCTGTCGAATGTGGGACGCATGCGCATTGAGTTGTTGGTTGTCGCAAAGTGCTGTCTGCAGTCGGTTGTCGCAACGAAAGGTCAACTCTCATCTTTTCCGTCTTACGACGCCGTCCTACGAGTTAAGTAAGGAATCTAACCTCTATATTTTTCTACCAATATCATGGAATCAGTGACATTTGACGAAGTAATCATTAATTTCGTACGTGACAATAAATGCTTGTACGATAAAAAAGATATAAATTTTAAAAATAATATTAAAAAGAAAGAATTATGGCACAAAATATCAGAATCCTTAAAAAATTTGTACAGCGTTGACATGGCAGGTAAACATTCTTTAAACATCACATAATAAATTATAAATAATGCAATGAGATATAAATTTGTTGACAGCTGAAGTAATAGAGAAACGTTGGACATCTTTGAGAGATATGTTCAGCCGCGAAAAGAGAAAACAACAATTGCCGCCATCAGGCTCAGGATATAAACCTACGAAGGAATGGGAACTTTATAAAACAATGCTTTTTTTAAATACTTATATAGAGCACAGACGGTTAGTAATACCTCTTATGACATTTAATTTCTTATTTAACCCCTTCGCTGCGGATGACAAAGATCTTTGTCATTTAGGACTTTTCTCTGACTGCGGCAAAAACGCAAATCTTTGTCATGGCATGAATTAGTCTAATGAAGTCAATAATGTAGCCAATTTAAAAAGTGGACCATTTCTAGACAGTCTAAGGCATACTGAACAACATGCCGTTGCCCTTTTTCAAAAACATAATGTCAAAAAAAAGATACGAGTTCTTAAAAAATGTAATTTTTACGATTTTGTAAAAATCTTTGTCATGAGCTATAACATCATATTAGATCCATTTCTGCATAAAATCTGACTTCAGATTTGTAATCAGCGACCCCGAAAACCCTCGGGCAACGAGTTTCAATCGATTTCCTTAACTTTTTATGCAGAAATGGATTCGTAAAAATTACATTTTTTAAGAACTCGTATCTTTTTTTTGACATTATGTTTTTGAAAAAGGCCAACGGCATGTTGTTCAGTATGCCTTAGACTGTCTAGAAATGGTCCACTTTTTAAATTGGCTACATTATTGACTTCATTAGACTAATTCATGCCATGACAAAGATTTGCGTTTTTGCCGCAGTCAGAGAAAAGTCCTAAATGACAAAGATCTTTGTCATCCGCAGCGAAGGGGTTAATAACCTTCTTTTTTAGAACCAAAACATCACTCTCCTTGAAAATTGGTCAATCGAGCTGTTCAACACAATCAGAAATTGAAAAAAACAATTCTTTATCATCATGTAAACATGATGTTATATCAATCAATGATGAAACAGTAAATTGTAACGAGAATTACAGTGACGATTCTCTAGGTTTGCGTTATTTTTTTAAATGTTAACTTTAGTTTTATTATATTCTATATAAAAATATATATTTGCAGGCAAATATATGGCAGATGAAAATGAAGCACCTATAATTGATAGTAACATATTGAAGATACCTTGTAACACATTAAATAATAATAGCATTGATAGCTTTTCACCATCTCGAAGTATAAGTTCTAAGATACAAAGTGTAAAACGTCCTGTGCTACAAAATATTGCAAAAAATATATCTGAATTGGATGAATTTGCTAAACGGCGTAAAACGAAAGATAATTTACTTGAAAAGGAATTAATACAAGCAAGTTCTACAATATCTGCTACTATGAACAATGTTTCATCTTTCATATGCAGCCAAAACAAGAATGAAAATGGTTATATGTTGGCAATAGAAGAAGCATTAAAATATGTTCCTGATACACATAAGACTCAATGTCTCATTGAAGTACTCCAAGTAATTCAGAAATATGAAAAAAGACAATGTTTTAACAGCTTTATAAAAAAAAATTTGTGGAACGTTTTTCTATTTTAAAATAAGTAAGTTTATTAAGAAATGTAGTCGATTTTATTTTTGTATTTAATACTTGTTCTTTATAGCTGAACTGACTGCACTAGTTTACAATTTATCTTCTTCCTTTATTTGTTTGTTTTGAAAGTTTATATTAATATTTTTTTCTCTCTTCTCACTCTTTTTGACGAAGCTTAAACTTATTTTGTGTTTGGTCTTTAACAAAGTATTTTTGTTTTGAAAGTTTAGCGAAATATTATTATTTTAATGTGTACTGTTATTTAACATAACTAGTGGCACTTGAGTATATTTACTTGTAAGTTACTATTGCCATCCCTGAAATTTTCAAAATGTTCAAAATTATCTAATTGTCAAAATTGAATTTTCCCGACAAAAGTGAACGCAGCGCCCTCTATGCGTAGTGTTTTGGATTCGTCTCGAAAAGACCTTTCCAATGAGCCCCCAGTCGACCTATGTTGCCATTTCAGATTTTCGACCCCCCTCGTGCCCCACGTGCCCCCTTAGGGATGGGGGGTCGTAACCCCCCTCAAAAGATAGATTTTTTGAAAAATCGTCTCAAGTGTTTCGGCGATTTTTGAAAATTTAATTCTTTCAAAAGTTATTAGACCGTCCCGGTACTTTTGGCGGACCCTGTATATATACATTGTATATATATAATGTATATATAATATACATATATATACACACATTCCAATATAAAAATAGTTTACAATAAATTATGATTCTGTGTACAAACTTTAATGTCTCAGCAACACGAGTTTCTGTTGATAAAGGCTCTCTGCGACTTTTCTTTTGCAGCTTTGGCTTTAAGAGATCATGTATACTGTTAAATTGTTCCACTGACATCCTTGTAAATTTAAAGAATTCTTCATGATCACTTAGTTTAAAATATCTGAATAATCTTGCATAGCCACCATAATTATTTCTCATATGTAAAGAGATATGTGGCTTCACCCACCATCTCCTCCTCATTTTTCGTCTTTTTTTAAACAATATAATTATTTTTAAAAAATATTCCCAAATTGTTAAGAAATTATAATAAATAACTATAGTTTTATCCATAACCTTCATATCAATACTTATATTGTTCAGCAGACTCAACCGTTGCGGAGCGGATCCGTGAGCGCTTGCTGCTATTGGTATATTCTTTTAGATCATCCAATAGCAGCGAGCGCTCACAGATCCGCTCCGCACAGTTGAGTCTGCTGAACGCAGTCAATACGACTTAAATGTAGAATAGATGTCGGATCAAGTTTCCGTTTTACGACGTACGATGTACGATTAGCGTATGCCAACAGCGACTACGGCGAATTGTGTAACAGGCTTTAGAGTCACGAGAATGAGTTGCTCGGAAATGTTCCTCACAACGTTGTTCCTCAGGAGTGAGGTATGATACTTGCAGAAATTCTTCGACTTCCCAGAACTGACGAATTTCGTCATCGAGATTGTCGTGCAACGTGGTATGATTAACTGTCACGTTAGACATGTTTGAAGACGAACTCGTCGAAATCGGACCAGACATGATCCAGCCGAAAATGGAATTTTGTGCTGTTGGCTGATTAGAGGAACCTGAGCACAGGCCCGGTAACAGAACAGCACCGTATAGATCAGCGCCGATGATCATTTCGATCGGATCGGCACTTGAGGGCTGCGGATCAGCCCATGGCAGGCCGCTTAAATGGGCGAGAGAAATTTGATATGCTATTTTAGGCGGCGTGTATTTAGTCAGAGAGCGCATAATAATTGCGGTCGTTGAGTATGACGGACCCTTGCCGGTCTTAGATGATACCGAAATCAGAGCAGTATGTCGTGCGACGGATTGCGTTTCACCGATTCCGGTAACCGAGACAGCAACGCGTGTTCGCGATAACCGTAGCCGTTGAGCGAGATTTTCACTAATTAATCTAGTGACAGATCCTTGATCTAACAATGCGCGTATGACATCTGTGCGACCAGACGAAGAACACACCTGAATCCGCGCGGTAGCTAATAGAACACGAGATTTGTCAAATGTTGTTTTCGTAATTAAATGTGAAACGACGTTGTTTTCATTTGACGTATTCGTTTCGTTGGATTCAAGGGAATTCTCGGTCGCGCTTGATGTCGTCGCTTCGTGAAGCATCGTATGATGCCTTTGTTGGCATTGACGACAGTTATGTTTACTCGGACATGTGTTCGCGAAATGTCGAGCGCTTAAACAGTTGAGACATCGTTTAAATTTGACAATAAGATCGCGACGCTCGTTAACCTGTTTCTTCTTGAAATCAGGACATACTGACAAGAAATGATCTTGTTTACAAAGCGGACAATGAGCTCCGGTAGCGGTCGTCGTGTGACTTTGAACGGACGACTTGCTCGGTTTTGTTTTGACCGTACTGGTCGTTGGAATATTCTCGAACGCTCGAATTCGCGATGCGAGAAAGTTATGAAGATCCGTATACGACGGATATTCCGTTTTATCGCCTAAATGTAATTCCCATGCTTTACGCGTGGCTTTATTTAATTTTTGCACGACTAGATAGACGAGCAAATCGTCCCACCACTCAACTGGACGACCGAGATTTTTTAACGCTTGAATTGACATATTAGCTTTATCTCGAAGCGACATAAGATCCTGAGCGGAATCCGTATTAACGGCCGGTAGCGTATGAAGCGTATGAATATGTTCCGACACTAATCGACGTTTATCATCGTAACGCGCAAGCAGTACATTCCACGCGATTTTAAAATTAGCTTCGGTCAAAGGGAGATTACGCAACGCATCGCGTGCTTCGTCCTTTAAACATGAATAAAGATATTGCAAGCGCGTAACATTCGACAACTCGGCATGATCGATAATCATGGAGCGGAATTGATCGCGAAACGTTTCCCATTCCCGTAAATCGCCGGAGAATTTCGGCAAATTAATGCGCGGTAATGTAAAAGTTTTTTCGGATTTCTGTGATTGACTCACGGATAACCCTGGACTTGATGCCGCTTGATCTGCTTCGAGAGAGGCGAGGGCATCGGAGATGTAGTCCGATGCTGCGAGGTAGGCGTCCTCCAATTCCATGTAGACATTCTCCTTGAAGTATTTCTCGGAATCCTTTTGTTCCTTGGTGGAGACTTTGAGCAGTTGTGCGTGCAGGAGCTCGCATCGAGCGTAAGTCTCCTTGAGAGTTTGAAGGCGATTCCGAACTATGCCGTACGTGTGATTTGCACGGCCGATCTTCTTAAAGTTTTCCAATGCGCGTGTGACAGAGCGCATAGCTAATCGCTGCTGCGATAGTAATTCTTCCATTATGAGTTTGTGAGGTTTCCGTAACTTGGTATGCTCGAAACGGAAATCTTGCGATGTGCCACGTCATTTACGTTCACGAAAGTGAACGAAGAGTCACAATGTCCCTTGTTGTTTATCCGGCTCGAAGGACCAAATGTTCGTTATGTGTGAAATCGCTGCTTCGATCTCGACTGAGATCTCGAATGACGGAATGGATTGGTGGACTGGATGGTTGAGAACACTCCTCTGAGCACTCCTCTTTAACTTGTTATATGCAAGTTTTATTCACAACAATAAACGCAGTGGTATTCGCGTTGCACGGCGAGAGAGACGATTAATTGCGGTTAATTCGACGATACTCATCCACGACGGTAGCCGTGATGAGATTACAAAGTAACGAGTCGCAGTAGCGAACCCGTAGAAAGAAAGCTGCTGCTTTCAACGAGTAATTTGAGAGCACAACTTGGCACGGCAAGTACTGATTTGTGTCTCAGGGTAGAATCGCGCTGCGCGACAAGCGCGACGAATCGGCAGGACGACAGCGACATCGGTATCCAAATATGCCGCTAAATTGTAGTAATGATATTCGCAAGACGGCGCGGTGAGTGCGACGAAAGATTCACGGACGGAATCGATGGATGGCGCAATCGATCCGTCTATTCGGCTTTGTAGCGCGAAACTTCTCCTATTCCGGAACAGTCCGAATTGCGCAAGTTGCCCTAAGCCGCTTCCTGGGCCGAAAAAACCTCATTTTTTGGGTTTTATTTTTTTTTCTAAAGATTGATAGCACTAAAAAATCTGCAAAAATTCATGGAGTTAGTTGACTGATAAGCGAAACTTAAAATATTTTACAAACAATGAAGGAATTAAACGCCTAAAATATTTTATTCAAGGTCATTGGGGCCCTTAAAAAAGTGTTTGAAAAATAAAAATGTAAAATTCGTACCTTATTTAACGAGGTACAAAAAATTTTTTTTCGTCATTTCTTAGCTTTGATTATGACTTACTTCTATGAATTTTTGCAGATTTTTTGAGATGGTGCAACATTTCGAAAAATCGGAATATTTCAATTTTTCGACGTTTTCCTTGATTTTATAGTTTTTTTTTGGTTATTATTATTTCTATATAATTTTCGATCCACTCCTACTGTAACTCTTAAAAATCCGCGTATTTTCGTTTTTTATTTTTCTCTTTACGTTAAAAATTCGCTGAGGTATCGTATTTTTAATTCTTTAATAATTAAAAAAATTTTTGTTTTCCTCATTTTTGGGAACTATTTTAACGATTCAAGTTATTACGCAGACGTGCATGTACGTGCATGTGTTTGTATTATATATATTGCGACGTTATTCGCTTGCGCGTCGCAAGTCGAAAGAAATAATGAGCCCGATCAGACGAATAATGACAATAACGGAGGCGAAAGTGATCGAGCGAGAATCGCGAAACGCGAAAGTTGGGCGCCAGACGTCTTTAAAGGCGACGTCGACCTCGCGAACAATTCGAATTTCCCAATACGACACTACCCAAACGCGAAACATATGCGAAAATCCCGGAAATTCTCGCTCTTACGCTGCTAGGACAGCTCATTCAACGGTAGAGGGGCAGGGTCTTGGGGAAAGACAAGGGCTGCGTTGAGACAGGGAAATTTAGGAGGAAAGATTACGCCGAGAACCCAAAAATCATACTCTCAATATTAAAGTAACAATAAGCGGGTTTATTAAGAACAGAAAAAAAATAAATAAATGATTCAATAATATGGCATTGATAGCGCGTTGAAAGAATGACAAACAAAAAAAATTACAAAATAAACTAGAGCGCTGCGAACCCGCAAGAAAAATTATGCTCTTGGCTAAACAAAAATTACAGCAATCAAATGCGCGCAAGAACAAAGTATTTCGTAATACTAACGACGACAATATCCAATGACGCGAGAAATCCGTAGCAAAATTACAGCAAATCAGCGAACGCGATATAATCTACAGCCCCTCCGCGAATACGGACTCTCGAAAATTAAGTTCGCCCAACAACATCGCAAGGTGACTAAAAATAATCTCGAAGATTGCATACAACATCATGCAGAGTCACCAAAATTCACGCGAGAATATCAGTCGGCACGCGCCGGCCGTACTGCCATACACGAGAACACACCAAACGAATAATATGCCGATTCTTTACGACTCAATACAACGTCGACATCGCGTTTTACATAGCAAGGGCGTGCGACTCGCGCCGTCTCACTCACACCAACGTCGATCTACAATATCACATATAACGGCAGTCCCGCACGAGATCGGCGTTCCGGGGCTCTTAATTTGAACAATTATGAACGAGAACAGCACACGGCGTTTACGCCGTAAATCCACGCGAAAATCTAATACAACTGCTGTGCTACCGGTAACGAAAACCGGTAACAAATATTGCCCCTGAACGCTCGCTCTCGCGCTGCCATCTCGCGAACGTGCATCACGCGTGCACGGGCTTTTTCGCTCTCAGCTATCGCGATCTCCAGGAGGCCTGCAACTCCAAGTCTACGTTAATTCCCCGATAGCCGACTACCCGGGAGCTTGGGAGTTTCTCGCGCTTGTCGCCGAGCGTCTCACTAAACGATACTTTACGCCAAAGGGCCGCGAATGGCAGTTCCGCGAGAATTCACTAATGACGCTCGACTGCAGAACACGAGGGTCCCTCGCCCCGATGCATGCGACTTTACCATCTTAGTAATCAGAGAGCAATCTCACCGATAGATCCCTGCCGGGGTCCTCATCCGGGCGATTTCGGTCTCTCTCTCTCACTCTCTCTCTTCCGTGAACGCAAGCTCACACGCGTCAGGCCCGGACGTCTAACCAGTTCGCTGGCCGGAAACGAAAAAGCACCGAAAATCGCGATCGATGCGCGATCAATACGTTATCCCCCTCCGAGGGGCGCGCAGCCGCACCGCGCTTTTCCGCGACCAAGGTGTGTGCCCGCGATCCTTCGCGGGCAGTGTCGTCAGTTCTGAAGAACCACTCGGCCGCGGCGGACGCGTTTCGGTCGGGTGCTTTCTACCGTATATTTTTGAAAGTGTTGCCGACTTTGACCGTGCATTGTTTTGTCCTATTTGTTCGTTTTCATATTTTTTTTTCGATTTCCATTAAAGACGTAATCTGGCAGTATCGCCTTTCCATTATTAGGAGGCGTGGTGCCATAAGTTAGAATTACTCGATGCGTGTCCGCGGCTGAGCTCGTCTCGATTGCTCGTCATCTTACACCCTTCGACGACTCGGGCTCTCATGACGCGCGTTATTGCGACGTGACGATGTCGTAGACGCAGGCGCCCAGATACCGGTCGAGCAACGCCAATCTCGCGGGCATTGCATCATCCGTTCGTTAGACACTTAAATACGATTTTCATTTGTGACGTGACCTGGCCGTATCGTCCTACCGATTATTTGGAGGCGGGAGCCATTAACTAAAGAAGAAGAAGAAACGGGCAGTGCCGTGCCCAGCGAGGTCCTAGGGGTGGTTGAAGGCCCCGCGAGCTCATCTAGTGTCGGCAGCGTATTTTTATGCTACCGACGGCCCGCCTTCTCGCTGTTTGGCATACGGCGGTCCTGTCCGTCGGGCCCGCGCCTCCTCGAGGCGTTTCTCCTTCATTCGCCGGACGTCCGGTCCTCCTGCGGCCCTCACTGTTCTCAGGCATAGGCCGGCCGACCGCTACCTCGGCCCTGGTGGCCGCTCCTCTCCTACTCTTCCGTTGCTGCTTGCTTCCAACTGCCGTCGTTCTTCCTTCGGTGAGGCGTCACTCATTTTACATGCAATTAAATCGTGGGGATTAGAAAATAATACTTAAATCGCTAATTACGGCCCCTGGAGATTTCGCTCGCTCGCCATTCCCGGCCCGGGTCAT